AACAAAATCTCAGACATCATATGCAGCAGAATTTTCACTGATACAACACCTAAGGCAAGAGAAACAAAGGAAAAAATGAAAACGTGGGACTACATCAAACTTAAAAGCTTCTGCACAGCAAAAGAAACAACCATTAAAACAGAAAGGGATCCCACTATATGGGAGAGCATAATCGCCTATGATGCATCAGATAAGGGGTTAATTTCCAATATATAGAGAGTGCTCATACAACTCCACAAAAGGAAGACAAAGAACCCAATTATAAAATGGGCAAAGGACTTAAATAGACACCTCTCCAAAAAGGACATACAAATGGCCAAGAGACATATGAAGAAATGCTCAATGTCACTAATCATCAGAGAGATGCAAATTAAAACAACTATGAGGTATCACCTCACACCTGTCAGAATGGCCGCCATCAACAAATCATCAAACAACAAGTGTTGGCGAGGGTGTGGAGAAAAGGGGACTCTAATACACTGCTGGTGGAAATGCAGACTGGTGCAGCCACTGTGGAAAACACTATGGTGTTACCTCAAAAAATTAAAAATTGAACTGCCATTTGACCCAATGACCCCACTTCTAGGAATATACCCTAAGAAACCTGAAACATCAATTAGAAATAATATATGTATGTTCATAGCAGCACTATTTACAATAGCTAAGATCTGGAAACAATCCAAGTGTGCATCAGTAGATGAGTGGATAAAAAAGCTGTAGTACATGTATACAATGGAATACTATGCAGCTGTAAAAAGAATGCTCTTTTATCCTTTGAGACAACATGGAAGGACCTGGAGAGTATTGTGCTAAGCAAAACAAGCCAAGCAGAGAAAGACAAATATCACATGATCTCACTTATTTGTGGAATATAATAAACTAAACAAACTGCTGAACAAAATTAACTCAGAGACATAGAGGTGCGGTACAGACTGTCAAACCTCAAAGGAGGGGAGCTTGAGGGGGGAGAAATAAACCACAGAACTTACATGCATATATGCATGACCAATGAACATAGACAACAAAACTGGGGATGGGGCAGCGGGGAGAAGAGGAGGGTGTCAATCGGGAAAAAAGAGAAACATCTGTAATAAAAACAAATAAATAAAATTTTAAAAAAGGAATGCCATCAATTTCTGAATGTTAATTTTGTATCTTGCTACTTTGCCAAATTAATTTATTAAATCTAGTAGATTTTTCATGGAGTCTTAGGATTTTCTATGTACAATATCATATCCTTCTTTCCAATTTGGATCCCTTTAATTTTTTCTTTTTGTCTAATTGCTGTGGCTAAGACTTCCAGTACTATGTTAAATAAGAGTGGCAAAAGTGGGCATCCCTGTCTTGTTTCTGTTCTTCAGGGAAATGCTTTTAGTTTCTACACAATGAGTATCATGTTGGCTGTAGGTTTTCCATATATGACCTTTACTATGTTGAGATATGATCCCTCTATCTCACTTTGCTGAAAGTTTTTATCATAAATGGGTACTGGATTTTGTCACATGCTTTTGCAGCACCTATTGATATGATCATATAATTTTAATCTTTTATTTATGTGGTATATCACATTTATTGATTTATGAATATTGTACAAGCCTTGCATCCCTGGGATGAATCCTGCTTGGTTATGGTGAATACTTTTATTAATATATTGCTGGATCTGATTTGATAATATTTTGTTGAGGATTTTGGCATCTATGTTCATCAGGGATATTGGCCTGTAGTTTTCTTTCTTTATAGTGTCTTTATCTGGTTTTGGAATTAGAATTATGCTGGCCTCATAAAAAGAGCTTGGAAGTCTTCCTTCCTCTTGCATTTTTTTTTGAATAGTTTGAGGAGAATGGGTGTTAGTTCTGCTTTCAGTGTTCAGTAGAACTCCTCTGTGAAGCTGTCCGGACCTGGGCATTTGTTTGCTGGGCGTTTATTGATCACAGCTTCAAGTTCCTTAGTTGTTACTGGTCTCTTCAAGTTTTCTGACTCTTTCTGGTTCAGTTTTGGGAGACTGTGATTCTAGAAATTTGTTGATTTTTCCCTAGGTTGTCCAATTTGTTGGCATATAATTGTTCATAGTTTTTTCTCACAATCCTTTGTATTTCTGGGGTGTCAGTTGTTACCTCTCCTTTCTCGCTTCTGATTTTGTTTATTTGGATACTCTCTTTTTGTTTCTTGGTGAGTCTGGCAAAAGGTTAATCAATTTTGGTTATCTTTTCAAACAAACAGGGCTTGGTTTTATTGACATTTTGTATTATTTTTTAAATTTGTATATCATTTATTTCTGTTCGGATCTTTATTATATCCTTCCTTTTACTTACTCTGCCCTTTTGTTCTATTTCTAATTATTTAAGTTGTAGGTTTAGTAAGTTTATTAGAAATTTTTCTTGTTTCTTGAGGTAGGCCTGTATTGCCATGAACTCCCCACTCAGGACTGTTTGCTGTGTTGCATAGATTTTGTGTTACTCTGGATTCATTTTGATTAGTTTCCAAACTTTTTTTATTTGTTTTTTTATCTCACTGGTAACCCATTCATTTTTAATAGCATGTTATTTAGATTTTATAAGTTTGAATGATTTTGAGTATTCTTATTGTCATTGATTTCCAGTTTTATGCCCTTGTGATCCCAGAAGACACTTGATATGATTTAAATCTTCTTGAACTTGTAGACTTACTTTGTATCCTAACAGGTGCTCTATCTTTGAGAAATATAACATGTTAATTTTTACACACACAAAAAATGTTTACCTTCCCACTCTTGTACATTTTTAATTCAGTACACCTTCATCACACCTTACTGTGCTTTCGTCCAGATTTCCTAATTCCTCTTCCACTAATGGTTCTGCAAACTTGTTAAATTTTTTACACTTTTCTTTATTTGTTGTTTTTGTTTTGTGTTTTCTTTTACTCCTCAACCAAAGATATTTTTCTATTTATCTTCAGATAGAGTGGGAGGGAGAGAAAGGGAGGGAAAGAGAGATAGAGAGAAATATCGAAGTTAGAGGGACACATCAACTGGTTGCCTCCCGCATGACCCCAACAAAGGCTAGGGACAAACTGGAACTGAGGTATGTGCCCTTGGCCAGAATCAAACCTATGACTCTTGGTTGGTCTGCAGGCCAACACTCTACCACTGAGCCAGTCTGGTCACAGCAAATTTTTTATACTTTTCATGTAATGTCATCCTATGCTATTAAATCTTTTATGATCAATGTTTTCTTCCTCATTCAATTAACTATTTTTACAATCATCTCAATTTTCTTTGTCCCTCACATTTCTTAAAGAGTTCTAGAAGTGAGAAAAAGCCATGTTTTATGTACCCTAACTATACCACAATCATTATAGTTATAAAGGGTTATCACAATGATAAAATATATCTTTAAATGTTCATAATCCACAACTGTGAACAGTATTGTTTCTTTTAATAAATTCACTAATTAGTAACAAGAATTCCTCTACTGAAGAGGGGGAAAAGAACAGCAACACTTTTAGGATGGCAACTATTTTTTGAAAAATAACAGTCCTGAACCATTACATTAGATTTTTTAAAATATTTTATTAATTGCAACACAAAAAAAGGGAAAAAAATATTTTTTAAAGATATGTTTTTCTTAGAATGGCTGCTGGTTTTACCCCAAAAATAAGGAAAAACAGAGAAATAAGCTTTTGATCTTCATCTCTTTCTTTCTCCCAGGTTAAGCTGAAAAACAAAAGGACAAATTTAAGTACCATTTATAAAATGGAATGTGTTTTTCAAATCTATTTAAATACGTGTCAAATTGCTTGGACTGTCTTTCTGCAATTTCCAATTTTCACCAATAATAATTCAAGCTTGCCCTAGACTCATGGCCGCTGAATTTTTCCGCTGAGCTAGGGGAGAGGACACACTGATAAGCATTGCAAAGTGCTCTCTTCATCACTGATGGCACCATACTCCTCAGGCTTCACAGTCAGTCACGAGCTTTCATCATCACTCCTCAGAGTCATTCAATTAACACCTATTTCGTACCTACGCTAATTACAAACAAACAAGGTGTCTTCTCCAAGTTAGACTCTAGGAAGAAAATCTTGCCATTTAGGAACTAAAACAAACCACATTTTAAAACAATCAAATCCTGTCACAGTGTGAAACTCCAAATTTGCAGAGATAAAAAAATGTTTCCTTATCCAAATACACAATATGTAAATATTATCATGTGGGCAAAGAGTAAATTAAAGTCTAGTAATAGTAGAAGTATCATGATCGGTTTGAAAAATATGGAAGGAATTTATGCTTAAAAAATCATTGGACAACTAGTTTCTTAGAAAAAAAGAACGTATATTCTATTTTTTAATATTGCCTAAAATGTTACAACCAAAATGGATAAAATGTGTTTATGGTTAAACATTCAAATTTTGAAGTGGGCATTTTTGTCCTAAGAAAAGAAACTCAATTAAAACTCAGCATGTTGACACACTGGAAACTTTATAGTAGATTATTTACTATTAAGTAGGAGTTCATGTAAAGTAGATCTATATTATTCTACAATGACATGCATTTGCTATTGAGATATTAGGTTGAACCTTATGAAATCTTTTTTTTTAATGTAAATATATGAATATCATCCATCCTAATAACTGAAGTAATCCACTGTGAATCACTGCTTAATTCAATGACTCTGTCTTCTGTGTCACATTAGGTCAGAACAGGTCAATGATTAACTATCAAGCTTCAGTTTGAATTTTGAATTGTGGTACCAACTCTCAGCACTGGATGACCCTTGGGAAAACAACTTAGTCTATGTTTTAATCTGTGCTTTCATTTTTCCATCTGAAATACAGGAATAATAACAGAACTCAACTCAGACAGCTATTTTGAGAATTATACATGTTAATATATACAAGGACCTTAATACAGTGATTGGCACTAGTCCATATAATTCCTATTAGCTATTTTAATACTAACTATTATAATTGTTTAAAGAAAATCCAGAGGATAGTTACCTGAGATGCTTGTAATTGTGTTGTTTTTAGGCGAAGACAGCTTGACTTGAAGCAACAAGTTTTGGGCCCTGAATACAAAGAAATTACAGATTTGGTAGATTTATTAGTATCATTATTAGGATAAAAATGAACATTTATACAGCCATTGATGATTACACAGTAATTTTCCATGCTTCACATCCTTTCATTATAGTTTAGTACTACAATCTCCAGAAGGAAAATTACTGACACCAATTGCCCTCAAAGGAATAAAAACATTACTGTCAAGTCTTAGGGAAAAATAGTAAATAACTCAGACATTTAAATATAATCTTTCCCACTGTCCTGTGAAATCAAGCACTCAGATTCAACTAAATCACAAATCAGCAATTTTTATAAAAAATGCTTAAATAAGTTAATGTTTAGGTTTAGTGATGTCTCTACCAAAGATTTCAGAACATCGGAATATTTTTGTCTGTGTTCATAAATGATCCAATTTTGCAAACAGAACACATATTGCAAACGTTTAATAATATACTTCAGCTTAGCAGGAGATTAAAAAGAAAAGACCTACTTTAAGTCATTTTTTTTCTTAGACAACTGAATGTAGAATAAGATTTCTGTCCCACATGTAGGGTCCTTCAGATATAGAGAGCCCTGAGCCCTAGCCTGATCAAGCAACAACAAAGGACACCATGGATATTAAAATGAAGATGGCCCCAGCACCTCCTCAGCAAAGCAGCCCTCTTTGTCAGCAGCTGAGCAGCACTTCTGTAGAAAAGTTAGGAAATCCCGTATAACAGTATTCAGTTGTTCCTCAGTTGCTTTGGGTTTGTGTTTCAACAGCTCTACAAGTGCACTGCATTTAAATGAAAACAAAACAAGGAAAAGGTTACTCACATAAAGAAAAATGGAGATAGTGAAGTCAGTAGTCCTGTTCTTTGAGATTATAAGTCTTGGAGCCAAGCAACTCTGAGTTTGAGGCCCAGGCTTAGCACCATAAACTTCAGTATTCTCATTAGCATAATGAGGAGAATAAAATCTACCCTCATTGCATCAGTAGAAGGAGCAAATAAAATCATCAATGTAAATTGCTCAATATCTGTAGTATCAATAAATCAGTAAATCACTTTCTAGTTAAATCTTTGTAAAGAATTATGTAATAGCATTTTAAAATTGTTCAAATTTTTAAAAATTTATGCCATATCAAAATGTATACCAATTTAAGACCTAAAAATGATCCTTAAAAGCTATATTATCTTGGACTCCTTTTAAAAGTTTCTAATCTGAGAATTTATATATTTAGTCTTTGAAATTTGGCCCATTCAAAATGGATAGTACAGAGGCCATGGAATACAGGGTGATCCAAACTCATGGGAGCTGGTGGTTCTCTTTCATTTACATCTGCACAAACAATAGTGCTAGAGAAAGTTGTGTGAGCACAATATTTTGCAATATTACTCAGAAGTCTATGGCCACAATCAGAACCCACCAGACACAACAGGAACTTTATGTTGCATTTCTAACCCCTTGTGACAGCAGTAGGGAGTCAAGCCTCAGAACTTGCCTTTCTAAGTGTTTTTCATCCAAATTCTATTCTCAAAAGTTACATCTTGGTGGTTTGTCTTGCCAGGAGGTTGCCATAGAACAAACTTAAATAAGCATTTATGCCTAGAAATAAATTCTTCTAAGATTTCTACTAATTTGCAATTTGAAAAAATGAATGCATTAATTTTCAGTTTCTTCTACTGGACCTGTCCTAAGATGTAATTCTACTGCAGCCTTTATCCATAAGATTATTCTGAATGATTTCCAGGCAAAATTAGAATATATTTTTATGGTTGTTCTTGATTATTTTGATAAGAAAACAGAAACCTATCCATTTTCTTTTTGACACCTTTATCACCTTAACAAGGCCAATACTTAAATAGGGAATATAACCGCTACTTCAGAAAAAGTTACCCATTTATTAGTCTATCAAGATTTCAAACACATGCAGAAATGAAATAATCCTCACGTTTGCTTCTTGACTAGTTGCTCAGACTCAGGAAGTGTGCACACGTCTGCATGGAAGGTGAATGTTTCAGCATTAAATTCTTTGGGAACATAGGTACTATCCACTTCCAGAGCAGAAAAGCATGGCCGTCTGTTCGCAAATGACTCTGTGCAGCATTTGGTAACTCTCTCACTCACTGGTGTCTTCTCGTGAGCCAGACAAAATGAATTCAGGATCGCAGACAGCTAAAGAACGGAGAATAGAGTAGAATTTTAAAAGAAGCATAATGAAAAGTTTGCCATGAACTCCTACCTTCCAATGGACCAAAAGAAGTGTTCTATTTCAACTAGCAATACCAAATTCAGGGTTGATTTGAGGCAGTGATTTGCTTACCAAAAATAATAAGGGATGTTTAAAGGTCTTTTCTCTTTTAGATGTCTACATTTTGAGAATAATTCATTTCAGAAAATAATTAATTAAAAATGTTGAGATAAATCCTAAGGTATGTGTTGGAATTGCTATACTGATACATTAAAGGAAAGATCCCCAGAAAGGTAAAAAAAAAAAAGAAATTTAAATGCCAGGATGAGACATTAAAAATTCATGGAATGGTCAGGCCCATGTGGTTCAGTGGTTGAGCGTCAACCCATGTACCAAGAGGTCACCGGTTTGATTCCCGGCCAGCGTTGTGGGCCAAATCCCCAGTGGGGTGCATGTAGCAGCGAGCCTACCTATGTTCTCTCTCATCGATATTTCTATCACTCTCTCCCTCTCCCTTCCTCTCTCTCTAAAACCAATAAAGAAAAAAATTCATGGAATTTTTTCAAAACAATTTATCACCTTTAGGATATTATCAAATCTTCTCACTCTGATGGTCAAGATAATAGGTGACCAAGTCCTAGCTGCCACTACCACACACACACACACACGCACACACACATTAGTTCACCCCTGCTTATGAAAGTTCACTTTGTAAATATCTAAAGACAAAAAAATCATCATTATTATGGGAGAAAAGGAGAAACATCTATAACAAAAATAATTTAAATTTAAAAATTCATCATTATTGACTTACTACATTTTAAAAGACTCACATAGTCATCAGCACAACCCATTCTTTTTGCCTCTGGAAGTTTACAACATTTGCTTCCCATTCTTCCTACTTTTCTTGTGAACTCCACAAGGGTTGGAGTTGACAACTGTGGTACTTTCTTGGTGTAACGAACTAAGAGACTGTAACAAAAAAAATCCACGTGTTTTCAGCCAGGCAACATACTATTTTTTTCTAACATAGTAGGTGAAGCAGAGAACACATAGACAAAATAAATTACAATAATTTTCCATTTATAAAGTTATCTCCATCCTGAAGTTTGTGGGGTGGACTGGAGGAAGACTTTGTCCAAAGAAACTAGTTGAGCCTAACTTTGAATTCCACCTGTGCTACATAATCATAGGAAAGTGACTTAGCTTATTATTTCAGTAACATTAATGTATTTATTAAGTGCTTCTTTTATTCAATAAAATATACTGATAGCTTAATATTCAGGAGTGGGCTGAAGTACGTTTACAGTTGTTCATGTGAAAAAAGATATGCAGCTTATTATTATTACTACAGTTTTATTAACTCTGTGTTTCACATACTCACAATTATAAACCTACTTTATCCCACTCTATATATTAGCATTGTGCTAAATTTTAAAGACATGGGTGAATTTTCTTATCTATAAAATGGGAGGAAATAAACCTGACTCAATATAGATGGTGGAAGGATTAAATTAAAAGAAATAAAATATGCCACCAAATTGGAATGATATCAAGCATGTAACGATCCTTTATTAAGAACTCCAATCACTGCTGAAAGTCAATGTATGACTGTAGTCTACTCAAGGCAAGAGAATGGTTCATTATTGTTATCCCTAGCACTCACAGTTAGAAGAGAGCTGACGTGTTAGTTGAACATTTATTATCTACCTAATAATGTGTCCCTTCTTGTCTGTACCTCCATAAATAAGTCTCCATTGGATCAGGACATTAGTTTATCAACTTATATATTACAGTATTTCTTGAGTTACGGCTTTTCAAGTCCAACTATTTCCTGCTCTGAAAAGGATTTCTGTCTTATTTGTCCACTAAATACTCCTTAACCTTTAAAGGGCTTCCTCAGTTCCTATATCCCAAGAATTAGGATTTTCCTCCCCAGCGTCAAGAGGCTAAATTTTTTAACTGCTCTCAAATATAGGTCTCTTCAATCCATCAAGTATTTTATCTCTCATTCTCCAGTATTTCTTGATGAAGAGGGATTAGAAATATATACTGTATTTTCATGAATAAAAGTTCTATGACAGGTGATATATATATGTGTGTGTATGTGTGTGTGTGTGTATAATAAAATCTACTTAATATGCATATTGAGTAGATTTTATTGAATTATACATATATCTTATCTTAAAAATTACAAATTGATCAACACAGAAATAGTCAAAAATGAAAATACATACGCAGTTTGGAAGCCACACTCTCCAAGTTGTTCAAAAAGTTCACAATTTTTTTTTACTAATTCATGTGGCTCGTCCACAAGAGGTTTAAATTCATCAAACTAAAAGATAAAAGAATAGTGTTTACAGGACTCCACCTGAAGACCGGATGCAGGCTATTTTTTACCCCTACAACCAGAATGAGATCCTTCTTCCTTTCTGCCCAAAGCCATGTAAATGGGCCTTTGATGCCAAATCTGTCACAGTACATCCAAACTGTATAGTATAAGTGATTAAGAATATTCAGGCTCTGGAGTGTGACTGCTGGGAGTTGAGTCAGGCCACCTGACTCACTTTCTATTTGTGGAAATTTACTTCCTATCTCCCAGTTTTAGAAACCTCATCTCAAGATCGTGCTTCAGCTCAGAGAACACTCTGTAAAAACCACATGAGCTAATGAAATTACAACAATATTTGGTACACTGTAAAAGCTCAATAAATTATATCTATGATTGTAAGCATTTTTATTTATTTTGTTTTATTTATTTATTTGCACAGCACATTTCTATTTATTGGTAGTTTAAGAGACAGTACAATCCAAATAGAAAAAAAATCACAGAGCCTTTTCTGTAGATTATCAATAATATCTATCAAGCACTGCTCTATGTAAGATGTTTCAATACATGTCTGTTTTCTATCTTTTTATTTTTAATTCATCTCTCCAGTTGCATCCTGAGCTCTCTGAACTAAAAGATTTTACACTGGTCATGGGATCCAGTATGGTGGCTGGCATAGAGCAGGCTAAAGGCAGAAGAAAAAAATGACTTCCCGCCCTGGCCGGTTTGGCTCAGCGGTTGGAGCGTCGGCCTGCGGTACAGAGAGACCCGGGTTCGGTTCCCGCTAAGGGCACATACCTCGGTTGCAGTTTGTCCCCGGCCCTAGTTGGTTGTGCGGGTGGCAGCCACTCGATGTGTCCCTTCACATCGACGTTTCTCTCTCTCTCTCTTCCTCTCTCTCCCTCCCGCTCTATCTGAACAAAAAATGGAAAAATGTCCTCGGGTGAGGAAAAAATGACTTCCCTCTGATTCCAAAGTTCAGAAACCACTACATATGTTAAAAGTGAAAAATATCCTAAACCTGCTAAAATCCTACTTTATCATAGCTAAATATATGAAAAATCCTCCAGAACAGATTTCTTCTCCTTACTAAATTTCTTAAAAAACCATTACTAAACCTCAAAAAGATTTGAAAATTTTCTAAATAAATAGATTTCACAACTTTTCTTAATATTTAATTCTTAATGCTTGATAAATCTTGAAATCAGATTTTCTTTATATCTAAGTTATATTTTTTTAAATTAACATTTATATTTACTTTATCTTATTTTGTTCTCAGGAGTGTAAAAAAGAGAAAAGGCATGGTCAAGATTTAGTGATTAGAGATTGCTCTTCATGATTCCTTTCTTTCTGGGCAATTCTAAGTTTTATTAACCATTCTGTGAAACCATTTTTCCTAGAATGTTTAAGAGCACAAAATTGAAATTTTTTCAAGAGAATGACTCCATTGTACTGTATAACACCATGTATTCTGGCATTATTTTTCTTTCTTATCATTGGAATCCTAGTCGAAGGGCTGCATTGTACTTTTCCTCTGAGAAACCTACCGCTTTGGAATAGCATGCATGAGCATCATCGGTGGCGCAGCACCTCTCCAGTGTAGCTTCATATGCCTTGGCCAGTCTCAGCAGCAATGCGATAGAGTAGTCTGGATGGCTTCTTGAGTACTCATGCAAAAACCTCATTAAGAAGAAAATAAAATAGACTTAGTTGAACAAAAAAGTAAAAACAATCACCTAGCCCTGGCCGGTTTGGCTCAGCGGTTGGAGCGTCGGCCTGCGGTACAGAGAGACCCGGGTTCGGTTCCGCTAAGGGCATGTACCTCGGTTGCAGTTTGTCCCCGGCCCTGGTTGGTCGTGCGGGTGGCAGCCACTCGATGTGTCCCTTCACATCGATGTTTCTCTCTCTCTCTCTTTCTCTCTCTCCCTCCCGCTCTATCTGAACAAAAAATGGAAAAATGTCCTCAGGTGAGGATAAAAAATAAAATAAAATAAAAATAAAAACAATCACCTAACTAACCACATGAGTAATTCATATTGCAAAGGTCTCAATTTGACTAAACCCATGCAAGTAAAGCTTGGTGGCAAAGGCCTGGGATTTAGAGTTAAAGCTACTGTCATTCAAATCCTTGCTCTAACGCTTGTTTTACTATATCACCTTACGCAATTTATCAGAACCTTAGCTTCCTCCCCTTTAGAATGGAGATAATAATAGGATTTTTCTCATAAGGTGGATTGTGAGAATCATGACATAATTTATGCATAATATAAACTGTCTGGCACATACTAAATGTTTGATAAATGACACCTGTTATTATGTATATTTTGCTTGATTTGGACTCCATCTCAAAAAGACTCTGATAAAAAGATAGATAAATATTCCTATATTTTATTTTCCTATCTGTGAGTGGAATCTTGAAGGGTACATAATTTTATCAAATATTTTTAAGTGCACAGAATACCATTATAATCCAACAATAAAAATTCAAAATTTATCACCACTTACTGATTATATATAATCATTTATTTATCATTTAATTGCCTGCTGCCCTGCCATGCTAATGAACTTCTGGTCTTTACAAATAAATATAAAAGCACCTGGTAGCAGACTCCAGACTTCTCTTTATACCTCTATGCTGCCGTCAGATAGATACAGAAATAGATACAGGGATATAAAGATGCATTACATATATTCACATATCTATGTCATGGTAAGTCCAAGAAATAGTCTTTGGCCCTGGCCAGTTTGGCTCAGTGGTTAGAGTGTCAGCCCTCAGACCCAAGAGTCGTGGGTTCAATTCCTGGTCAAGGGCACATACCTTGATTACAGGTTCAATCTCCTGTCCAGGTTAGGGTTGTGCAAGAGGCAACCAATCAATGTGTCTCTCTCACATCAATGTTTCTCTTTTTCTCACTCCCTCCCTCCTACTCTATCTAAAAAAAATCAATGGAAAAATATCTTCTGGTGACAATTTAAAAAATGATAATAATATGTATATAGAATTTATGTATATACAAAAGGCTTCTAGAGGTATTTCCAGAAATATCACTAAGGAGTAAGGAATGAAGGTGGGGGTGATAGAAATTTCTACTGATTGTTTTGTACTCTTCTTTATTGATTGAGCTTTTGTCATGAGCAGGTGATATTTTATGAATACATTTTAAAACTAATTAATTTTTCCAAAAAGTTTTATAGGCTCAGAGAGGGATGGATAAATAAGCATTGCAGGGAATATTGTATCAACTCCAAATAAAATCCTAGAACTCTTCCCTGAATCCTCAGAACATAAAAAAGCTATGAAAGAATAATATTCCTTATCCACTTACTTGCCCAGGAAGTCATCTTTTGCCTCCATATAGTTTTTGCAAACATCCTTATGTTCGACAAAATTAGCAGTTAGTGAGACTATGTTAGCACCTGAATTATCACCCGCCACTGTATCAAGGCAGTGGGATTTTTCCAACACAGGCTTAGTACAGCAGTCCGACAATTTAGTGGAGATTGATGCTTGATTTTGACACATATAGTTGGCAAGATCCGCCTATAAGCAAGTTGATGAAAATTGGTTCAATGTAAGTTGACATCACTACCCTTTCTCTTCATTCTGACTTTTATGATGTTGGCAGAACATGTCCATTATATTCTACCAACCTACCTTCTATGAACATTTTTAGCCCATGATACTTAACCTGGAGACTCAGATAAAACCACTAAAACATTTCCACTTCATTAAAAACTAGTCAGTTACAGGGGCCCATATTGGTTACTTATTAATTTTATATTTCTACTATTAAGGCATTAAGTTTTTTAATTAAAACCCAGCATTAGGAAGCTGGTTGAAAAAGATGAAGGAATTAAGAAATACAAATTTGTACAACTCAATAAAAGGAAGACAAAGAACCCAATTAAAAAATGGGCAGAGAAATGAAATAGACACCTTTCCAAACAGGACATACAAATGGCCAAGAGGCATATGAAGAAATGCTCAACATCACTAACCATCAGAGAGATGCAAATTAAAACAACAATGAGGTATCACCTCACACCTGTCAGAATGGCCGCCATCAACAAATCATCAAACAAGTGTTGGTGAGAGTGTGGAGAAAAGGGGACTCTAATACACTGCTGGTGGGAATGCAGACTGGTGCAGCCACTATGGAAAACGATATGGTGTTACCTCAAAAAATTAAAAATTGAACTTCCATTTGACCCAGTGATCCCACTTCTAGGAACATACCCTAAGAAGCCTGAAACACCAATCAGAAAGAATATATGTACCCCCATGTTTGTAGCAGCACTATTTACAATAGCTGAGATATGGAAACAGCCCAAGTGTCCATCAGTACACGAATGGATAAAAAAGCTGTGGTACATATACACAATGGAGTACTATGCAGCTGTAAGAAAGAAAGATCTCTTATCCTTTAAGACTACATGGAGGGACCTGGAAAGTATTATCCTAAGCGAAACAAGCCAAACAGAGAAAGACAAGTATCATATGATCTCACTTATTTGTGGAATATAATGAACATAACAGTCTGAGGAATGGGGTAGTCCCAGAGACGTAGAAGTGGTGTACAGACTGACAATCCCCAAAAGAGGGGGTGGTGGGGGAGAGATAAACCACAGGACTTATATGCATGTATGCATGAACAATGGACATGGACAACAAAGCTGGGGACACGGTGGGGAGGGAGGGAGAGGGGGGAATTAGTGGGGGGAAAAGGAGAAACATCTGTAACAAAAACAAATTAATTACATAAAAAAAGAATTACAAATTTGTAGTTACAGAATAGTCACAGACGTAAATTACAGCATAAGGAATATAGTTAGTAGTATCATAATGTCTATATGTATGACCAAGTGGGTGCTTGAAACATTGGAAGGCCACTCAGTACAGTAAAGTACATGATTTTCTAGCCACTATGCTGTACATCTGAAACTAATACAAAATAATATTGAATGTAAATACGAATTGAAAAATGACATATATATATGGCAGTATTGTTTTTCCAACTATTCTACACATTGAGTACAGGTATTTTGAAACAAATAACTGAATAAAGTACGAGGAATTTCTGAAAAATTAGTCAAGATCATAATACTAGGCCCTGCTTACATATGTAAAATATCTGCCTTAAAATTTCCAGAAAGTATTCTGATATATTATGATTCTATTTGCTCTTATGTTTACATTTTAGGGAATTATCCATTGTCAGAGTGTGAGGCAGGTAGAAAGAAGTCAGCTAGTCACAAATATTTGCATATTAAGGGAGAATATATAGAGCAAAATTACATAATTTCCAAAGGTCTCTTCAGGTACCAGCTCTTCTCCAACTCTACCCACCTCCCAAAAAAATCTTCGTCGAAATCTACCCTTGCAATTGTCCTACTTCAGTTTAACCTTTGTTCTCAGAATGTGACTGGGAGGGGCTACAAACCAGTGAGTGTATTGATCAGATCATTCTGTGACTGGGATAGCCAGGTATATAAATAAAAAATAACATAAAGTGCCACAAGGCAGAGATAGAGTTGAGCATATTAAGACACAGAAGACAATTTCAACTCACTGTCAGCTGTCACCACTTATACTAAACAAATCCATCGCAGCAACGGAAGCACGTCACCAAAGCAAAGTTACCAAAGAGAATACTGAGGAATCCTTACCCTGTCATCTGCACACTCAAGCAGGTCGCCATGGCAGCATTCCTTATGGACTTTGGTATAATCTGTTGCCAATGTGGAAACAGTTTCAAAGCTAGCGCCACCAAATTTCTGGGTCAGGAGAACTGCAAACCTAAAAAGAAAATCCCCCAATAAAACTTTATCAACATGCAAAATTTTATGTGAAGGCACTAGGAAAATACTACTTATAACAAAAATTCAGGACAAAATGAAATATAGAAATTATTTGTATTTCATTAGTTCTGATTTTAGTGCTAGTTCTAAACTAAATTGTTATCTTAGGGCAAAGGTGTGCTTAGGGCAGAATTATCCATTGTCAGAGTGTGAGGCAGGTAGAAAGAAGTCAGCTAGTCACAAAATCACAAATCAAAGAGGGATTCCAAAGGAGGTGACACCTGAGAGACATCAGGTTTGAAGCCTAGATGTGACTTCCAGATCTGACTTCACTGCTAATTAACAGTGTGACCCTAGGCAAGTTCCTTAGACTCTCTGAGCATCAGCCCTGCAGTCACAACAGTGTGCTATATCCAAGGACTGTGGTGAGAAGCAAATTAGATAATGCACATGAAAGCATTTTATAAACTGGAAAGGGCCCTGCAAACTCCAGTGATCCTTTTTTACCAATTAAAATACCTTCTTCCTGACTTCTGAAACGCTGAGAAAAGAAATTTTATAGCTTCTCAAAATTAGGGAGTTTAACATATTTTTACCAAGAAATTGACCCAGTATGGTCTCTAAACCTCATGACAAGATGTAAAAGGCTAATATCCAAATGCTTTCACAAATCATTTCAGAGGTGACTAATCTGATAAAAGATGCTTCTTCCTCCAAACCAGTCACAGCCGATTTAAATTAGCAGTTTCCAATTTCGGTCGTTTTCTGCATTTTCTTGATTTGGGTGTGTAGATGACAGAGGTGAAAGACAAAGATAATCCAAATGATGGTTTCTGGAAACCTTGCAAGATGTCTATTTTTTCATTTAATCTTCTGTTTGGTTGATTAATTGCTGACTAGCAAGTGAGGGATTGGGGGTGGGGGTTGGGTTTCTTAGCTCAGATGTTGGAGGATATTCCTAGAACCAGTGAGGTAATATAAAAAAAGGCCCCGGCAAAAACAAAAAATTAAGAACAGAGCTGGAGCTATGACAAAATGAGGAGTGACCTTGATGGCTGAATTTAATTATTAGAACATAAAAGGACAAGCAGACTGTTTCAGATAATTGCAGGGGACCAGGAGAGGTAAAATTAAATAATAGACCCGACCATGACTACAACTGTATTAAAATCATGGGCCATTAGAATAAGATCTCTAGTCTTTATCAATAAATGGGAGTGTAAATACCTGCTCTAGAATGACGTAAAAGATATCCACTAAATTTTTTTACAACCTTGAAAAAATATGATTAGAAATAAGACAAGTTGTCATTTATGCTCTAATTTTTCAATTCTGTTACATTTCTACCTTTTAGACAACCAGAAAGATGTATGTGAAACCACTGTGTAAAAGTTAATAAAAATGTGCAATTTTGTCAACTGAACCATCACTCACAATGTTATAAAGTACAACACTAAATTTAAAATACCATTTTTGCAAAGCACTTTCTCCACTCTTTTTAAGAGTAGAGCACTTGAATTTCTCTTTGTATGAGGAGATCTGTACTTTTCTCTGCAAGTCATCCATCTGCAAAAAGAAATAATTTTGAAATATTTTTAAAGTTCTACATGAGCAAAAAAGACAGAATTCATGGACATAAAACAACTGTGCGGTGATTGTGGGGGGACAGGGATGGGTAGGTGTGGGGAGGTATGGGGCTATAAATGGTGATGGGGAGAAATAAAATTTTTAAAATTTTACAAGAGCCCTAGCTGGTTTGGCTCAGCAGTTGAAGCATCAGCCTGCGGACCAGAGAGTCCCAGGTTTAGTTCCCGCTAGGGGCACGTACCAAATAAAGAAATTTTTACATGAAACACCCCTTTATAAGTTCAGATGAGACTATGAAAATTAAATTTTAAAGCTATACCCTAAATTCCCAAGTACTCACTATTGGCCAATAATTATTTTGCTACACGGTTAGAGGAAAAATCACCCTGGTCATAGTGGAAGCCCCTGGTAGTGAACAACCAGAACGTGGGCATTGCCAGGGGAAAGGGAGCTGAAGGGAGAGGTAGGGAACCGAGTACACTAATATCCCAGGGAACACAGTTTTACTGACTTCTTAATTTTGCATGAATTCATTTCAATCCCTCCTTCACCAACTCTCACATCAATAAACTCCCTAGAAAAGATGATAAGCCCGTAACAAATATTTATGGAATGAATGAGTAAATCCAGGTTTCTAGATGCAGTGAAACTCTCCACTTTGAATTCCCTCCCCAATATAAAAGGTTCATGAAAAGATAAACAAGAACTGTGACCCTTTGCTATGCAATTTAACAAGCGAGTTTCTATATTTCACTATAAAAAGAGGAGGGGCATTTAGACACAGACACAGTGATTCCCTCTATCAGTTCCACGTGGGCAAAACTTAGCAGGAGAAATGAGGATGTCACAGCCTTCTAAGAGGATGAAAAATCTTTGGGGTAGATAAGAGTAAGGAAGCCTTTTTTGACCATGTAAATAAGTTGATATCAGAGACTTAGCTTCCCTACATCTAGCCATAGATGTCCCAACTCTGAGGTTTGAGTCGGAACCGGTCCTCTGTTCTTCTGCCGGGGCATACATACCTTTGGTCCCAGGCAGGCAGCTTTATCATTAGCTTTGCAGCATTCTGTCAAAACTCCTTTATATTGTTGGGTATAGTAAAGGAGCTCTGGGGCATAAAAGTAAGGATTTCTTCTGGCAATTTCATACATGTATCTAAATTTTTAAAAAGAAGAACAGGCAGACATTTTCTGTAGCAGACAGTATTTTTTTTTTTATTAATTAATTTATTTTTTTTACAGATGTTTCTCCTTTTTCCCCCACTGATTCCCCATTCCCCTCCCTCCCTGCCCTGTCCCCAGCTTTGTTGCCCATGTCCATTGTTCATACATACATGCATACAAGTTCTGTGGTTTATCTCTCCACTACCACTCCCTCTTCTGGGGATTGTCAGTCTGTACCCCACTTCCACATCTCTGGGACTACCCCATTCCTCAGACTGTTATGCTCATTATATTCCACAAATAAGTGAGATCATATGATACTTGTCTTTCTCTGTTTAGCTTGTTTCGCTTAGGATAATACTTTCCAGGTCCCTCCATGTTGTCTCAAAGGATAAGAGATCTTTCTTTCTTACAGCTGCGTAGTACTCCATTTTGTATATGTACCACAGCTTTTTTATCCATTCGTGTACTGATGGACACTTGGGCTGTTTCCAGATCTTAGCTATTGTAAATAGTTGAGGCAGACAGTATTACAGGAACAATTATTAACAACATTTTCTCTAGAAACTCCCAAACTCAAAGACATCTAACTTACCAGTTAAACTCAATTTGCACATGATGACCTTGCCTTTGTCATTTTTTAAGTCAATAAAAAGGTTAAACTTATATATATATATATATATATATGTATAAAGTATATACACATATAAAATAGTTAAATATTAGTGATATAAGATTGACTAAATGAAATTAATTTTGACAATAACTAAATACATATCTTCATAATATCTTAATACATGTCAATGTTTTGATACAGATCCATTATCCTGTTTCAATGAATTTTAACAGATCTTTGACCAAATATTTTATTGTAAAATTTTACAGTATCAAATGTTACCTCTTTGAAAATTGTCATTAAAATAAAAGCTCCTAAATTAATGTTGAAATATTTTTGTTGTAGTAATTGTTATAACTGAGTCTTGACCTATTTCATAATTTTTAACTTTGAAACATAAAAATATGATTACTTACGTTCCCAACAACTTCTGTTCATATTGCTCAAAGGCAGTGCATGTTGCATCTGGACTCATTGACCCCTGTGGAGGGAGGTCTAAATCATCATCTTTGTGTGTCAGGAAGCATGTGTATCTGTCAGGTTCTGCTTTATTACAGCAGTCAGCCATGTCACCGTAGGTTTCACGAAGAGAAGGAACTGAACACAATTTTTCTCCAAAAAGTGTGCGCTAAATGAAAGACCAAAGACTTCAAAATGCTGAGCAGTGTCTTATTTTCTTCATACACAAAGAACAATAATAATTATGTAATATACTGGTAAACCTTGGTGAGAAAATCATATAAAAATCCACTTTTTTTCACAGGTTTAGATAGTTTCCCTTGATTTGATCAACTATGTAATTTTTAAAGAAGTAACTGTCATACTGTTAGTTACAATGAATAAAACAGAAGGGCAAAATGATGGTCAGTGGCCTTAGAGAATGAATGTTACTACAATTTCACCCGAGGCTAAAGACTAGGAACAATCATAATAACAATCAAGGTGGGTTCACAGAAGAGAGGAAAGTGTTAGGATAGTTTCTCATTTGATCTACTCCTTTGTGAGAGGTCCAACTTTTTTGTAGATACCATTTAATAACTGAGAAATAACACAATTCACTATATATTAATTGTTCTTGCATTAAAATATAGACCTTTTTATTCTAGAAACATTTGCTGCATAGCACATTGTATTAAATGAATTATTTTCATCCCCATTAATTTTTATTATGAAAATCATTGTAACCCCAGGAAAATATACTACTCAAGAGAGAACTTATTTTCAACAAATGCATCTTTTCAAATCCACATTTAGAGCCATAATATTGTGTGACGCTAATGTACTGCCTCTGACTTGAGGAAGAGAGACATATAAAGAGAAATAAGAGAAGGGAAAGTTTCAGTGATAAATAAAAAATGGACTTACCACCCAGAAAAAGTTTATGCATAGATTGAGTAGTGAGAGAAACATTAACCTAGCCTTGTATTGAAGACCTATCTGGAAATACCAAAAGCTCTAAGTCCTTTGAAACATATGAATGCCCTAATATTTTATTGTATGTAAAAATATGAATGTTCCTAAAATGAGGAATATATAGCTATACTATTATTTTACCCAGCTAACAAAATTAACGTGAAAATTACCCAAGTGCTTTCTGAAGATTAAAAACATGGTATCACTATTAGCCTCTGTGAAAACAAATCAAACTTTAGATTTTAAAAAGAGACTTTCACAAATGACAAAATTCCATTTAAATACACTATGGATTTTTCTGTCCAACCAAACAGCCGATTGGAGACGGGAGCCAACCAGGGCTGCATTGGAGGTTGAAATTGGGCAAAGATTAGATACCGATTTAGACAGGTGTTCTTGAACACCACTAAAAACACAATTCTGACAGTATTTCATGACAATGGATGGTGACAGTTCTACAACAGACGCTTCTCAATTAGGAATTTCTGCAGACTACATTGGCGGAAGTCATTATGTTATACAGCCTCATGATGATACTGAGGATGGCATGAACAATCACGAAGACACAAATGGTTCAAAAGAAAGTTTCAGAGAACAGGATATATATCTTCCAATTGCAAATGTGGCAAGGATAATGAAAAACGCCATACCTCAGATGGGAAAGATTGCAAAAGATGCCAAAGAATGTGTTCAAGAATGTGTGAGTGAGTTCATCAGCTTTATAACATCTGAGGCCAGTGAAAGATGCCATCAGGAGAAACGGAAGACAATCAATGGAGAAGATATTCTCTTTGCCATGTCTACCTTAGGCTTTGACAATTATGTAGAACCTTTAAAACTATACCTTCAGAAATTCAGAGAGGCAATGAAAGGAGAGAAAGGAATCGGTGGAGCAGTCACAACCGCAGACGGACTAAGTGAAGAACTAACAGAGGAGGCCTTTACTAACCAGTTACCAGCTGGCTTAATAACTGCAGATGGCCAACAACAAAATGTTATGGTTTACACAACATCATATCAACAGATTTCTGGTGTTCAACAAATTCAGTTTTCATGATCTGAAGAAATGATGGAGTGTGGAGTATAGAGAAGCAAGTCTGCACGATACCGAGGCTGAGACAGAAGGAAGGACTGGAAGGGTGTCTCTCTGTATGTTAAATAGCTGTAATGTAGCTTCCTGATGCTTGACTAATTGAGGTGTTAATTCTGACTTGAGAATCTTTTTCATGAATGATTTTTAAAAAAAATTTGGATTTTAAAAGTATTAAAATATTTTTGTTTTGTACGAGAGTTTGTTGCTCTGTATGACTCCTGTATGCATTGTATATTGCAATTTATTACTGTCAGAGATTTGTAGACAGTTTCTTATTTTCATATTGAATCACGTTACTTTTGTAATTCAAGTAAGCAGCTGGGTTAATTCATGATGTTTACCCTTTTAATAAAATATAAGGGTAGAGTTCATTTTGAATGCAAGTTGCCTTTATTATAAATTTGAGTTTGTCTTGGTTATATAATATCTTGCATGGTAACCTAGCTAGATTTTTGGCATTTGCCATATTTATTAAAATTAATTTTTTGTAAAACATTCATAGCTGAAGCAGCACCATTTTTTAAAAATGTAATTGAAAAATTGTGTGAATGCAGAAGCAAATATTGTCTGCCCTATTAAACTTTGTGCCCATTAACAGTGTTTACACTGTTCATGTGCCTGTTAAGATAATTTTTGCTTATTGGAGCTTTTGTTAAGACTACACTTGTTTATTATGAGTGTTGGAATTAATTTAAGTTAATGTAGTTCTAGTGCTCTTGAAATGGTGCCCCTTTCATTTTGTGTATGATTTTTCCAAAACATATCTTTAAATACCATAGTATCCCTTCTCTCTTCCAGAAGAGGAATTTTATAGTCTGATGGTAAATGTCCTCATTTTACCTTTTTTTTTTTATCCTCACCCGAGGACATTTTTCCATTTTTGTACAGATACAGTGGGAGGGAGAGAGAGGAACAGAGAAAGAAAGAGAAACATCGATGCGAAAGGAACACATCTAGTGGCTGCCACCCGCACAACCGACCAGGGCTGGGGACAAACTGCAACCGAGGTATACGCCCTTAGTGGGAACCGAACCCGGGTCTCTCAGGACCACAGGCCGACGCTCTAACCGCTGAACCAAACCGGCCAGGGCTCATTTTACCTTTTTAATTGAAGTGTCAATTCCCTATTATACTATGGGAACCAAGAAACATCAGACATCACTGTCTGTATACTGGCATCTTTTGCATGGGCGAGCAAATGAGATGAAGAATTGAGTGAGTGCTCTGAATGATGTGAAACAGAAGCCCCAACTTCTAGTGTGCTGTCTCAATCTTTGCAATAATCTAAACTTAGATAATATAACTTTGTATAATTTAGTATTATGTACTTAGGTTGTGCCTTTTTTTTTTTAAAGTGAGAATTTGTATTCTTTCATCTTTTCTTTTAGGTGATAATTAACTTGAGTGTGGTTATATATTATAAGTAATTGCTATTGTACAGTTTGCCTAAAAGGGAGAGAGTTTGCGTAATGTGATCTTGAAAGGACACTCGTGTATAAGGTAGAAGCAGTTTCCCAGATGTAGGCTGAACAGAAAACATTTACTTTGCCAGAAGGCACCTTTGGGAGCATATTTGGGCTAATCTGAGGTTAATAACGCCCTTCCTACCCCTCCCATTTAAAAAATCATCATCATAGAGTTCAAATAAGCAAAAAAAAAAAAAAAAAAGGGAGAGGAGGGGTGTTAAACAAAACCAACCATTATCCTACTATGTTGAAATAACCCATGTTAATATTTTGTATCATTTGTCCTTTTACTTTGCTAAATATGTATATTTTTATACAAATAGGCTCATACTTGCTTGCATACTGTTTCATAACCTGCTTTTTTTCACTGAATATATTGTGAACATCTTTTCCAGGTTATTAGTCTTCTATTTTTATTCCTCTACTCTGTCATATGGCTGAACCATAACTTATTTAATCCTCTATAGGACATTTTGACTGTATACATCTTTTCACAGTTATAAATAACACTTCACCAAAATAAATAAATAAATAAATACACTATGAACCTTGTGGATAGTCTCAATAAAGAAAGGTGGTTTTTGGTTTTTGGTTTTGGTTTTGGTTTTATTTAATTTTTTTGTTAATGCTCACCTGAGGACATTTTTCCATTGATTTTTAGATAAAGTGGAAGGGAAAGAGGGAGAGAGAGAGAGAAACATCAATGTAACACATTGATTGGTTGCCTCCTGCATGACCCTGACCAGGGATTCAACCTGCAACTAAGGTGGGTGCCCTTGATCGGGAATCAAACCCGCAACCCTTGGGTCCAGGGGCCAATGCTCTAATAGCTGAGCCAAACTGGCCAGGGTGATAAAGGAATGTTTTAATACTGTGGGCATAGCTAGAATGTCTCTACCATAGAACAAATGATGGCTCTACCCATTTGTGAGTGTTGTTTACAAATATGGTCTTAGTAATAACTGAGAACACCAAAATGAGACATTTTCCTTTTGAAATGCTCGGGATTACTTAAAATAAGAAGAAATAACATTCAAAATCACAATGTACTTACAAGTGGCTTGCCACAATTTTCACCTAACTCATCAAGAGAACATGCTTTTCCCAAATCAGTTAGTTGACTTGTTAATTTTACAATTTCATCTAATGTGGACTTCCGGAGAAACTGAGAAAAGTCAACCAGCTCCCTGAAACACAGGGCATAGAAAAATGTTATATAATAAAATTTTAATATAAAGTAGGTTGTTATGGTAGACAACAAATTGTGTTATCAATATATGTTCTATATTATTATATGCATCCATTATCCAGAAAGGTTATTCCCATCAGGTGCGCATATACACAGCAAGCAAGCAACATGCATTCTAAGCAGATCTAATTATTAAGATAAGGGGCATTCCAGAGGACCTTTGACTAAAACAAGAACAATAACCACACACACATCTCCTTTAATGAGGCTATAAAATAAAATTGACCTTTAAGCCCAGCTGGTGTGGCTCAGTGGATTGAGCATCGTCCCATGGACTGAGAGGTCCCTGGTTTGATTCCCAATCAGGGCATATGCCCGAGTTATAGGCTAGACCCCCAGAAGGGGTTGTGTAGGAGAAGGCCCATTGATGTTTCTCTCTCACATCGATGTTCTATCTTCCCTCTTTCTCTAAAAAAAAAAAGAGAGAAATCACCAATCTATTTGCCAGGTACAGGAGGAGTGTGTGCTAGGAAAGGAACCAAAATTTAAAGTCTTTCCCTTCAGTCCAGCTGATGTGGCTCAGTGGTTGAGCGTCGACCCATGCAACAAGAGGTCACCAGCTGGATTCTCAGTCAGAGCACATGCCCAGGTTATGGGCCAAATCCCCAGTGGAGAGCATGCAGGAGGTGGCCAATCAATGTTTTCTCTCATCGATGTTTCTGTCTCTCTCTCCCTCTCCCTTCCTCTCTCTCTAAAATCAATAAAGAAAAAAAAATTTTTTTAAGTCTTTCCCCTCAGTCAAGGTTATGTAAGAGTTCCAGAGCTATACTTTCCCATAAAGTAGCCATGAGCCACATGTGACAATACAAAGTTAAACATTAAAATTAAAAATCGTTTAAATCTTTGATCCTCAGCTGCATTTTCCATGTGTTAAAATACTCAACAACCATGTGTAGCCAGTGGCTATCATATTGAACAGCATTGATATAGAGACTATTTTCATCAATGCAGAAAATTCTTTTGGACAGTATTGTTCTAAAGTCAGGACTCTCGCCCTGGCCAGTTTGGCTCAGCGGTTAGAGTGTCGGCCTACGGTCCAGAGAGACCCGGGTTTGGTTCCCGCTAAGGGCACGTACTTCGGTTGCAGTTTGTCCCTGGCCCTGGTTGGTCGTGCGGGTGGCAGCCACTCGATGTGTCCCTTCACATCAATGTTTCTCACTCTCTCTCCCTTCCTCTCTCTCCCTCCCACTCTATCTGTACAAAAAATGGAAAAATATCCTCGGGTGAGGATAAAAATAAATAAAATAAAATAAAATAAAATAAAGTCAGGACTCTCATGACAGGGGAATATATAAAGTTCAGAATAATAACCAACACTGTTAGAAACATTAAATTTGACTCTTCAATAATTTAACTTACAGGGCTTTGAAAAAGTCTTCTCCCAAATCCTTATACCGATGGGCAATCTCACTCAAGGCTGGGGAGAAAAAAAAGATTTGTTTAAATTTGAAGAAAACAATTGTTTATTACTTTTTATGTTTCTCTCCATTTTACTTAGGCATTCATTTGCTCCAAATATTGGGTTCTGAAGTCACTGGGATCTCCGGTCAAAATGGCAGCATAGATAAATGCGGCATCGCCTCCTTCCACAACCACATCAAAATTACAACTAAACTATAGAACAACCATCATTCCAAACCACCTGAAATTAAGCTGAATGAAAGTCTTACAGCTACGAAATTAAAGAAGAAGTCACATCAAGGTGGGTAGGAGGGACAGAGGCATTAAGGGGCTGGTCCCACACCCACATGTGGCAGATAAAATTCAGGAGGGCTACCTCGGTCGGCTGTGAAGGCCCTCCCTGAGGAGTGAGGGGTCCCATCCCACACCAGGCTTTCAGCTCAGGTTTCCAGTGCCAGGAAAAGAACTCCTCAAAACTTCTGACTCTAGCCCTGGCCGGTTTGGCTCAGCGGTTAGAGCGTCGGCCTGCAGTCCTGAGAGACCCGGGTTCGGTTCCCGCTAAGGGCGCATACCTCGGTTGCAGTTTGTCCCCGGCCCTGGTAGGTCGTGTGGGTGGCAGCCACTCGATGTGTTCCTTTCACATTGATGTTTCTCTCTCTCTCTCTCTCTCTCTCTCTCTTTCTCTCTCTCTCTCTCTTTCTCTCTCTCTCTTCCTCTCTCTCCCTCCCACTCTATCTGAACAAAAAATGGAAAAATGTCCTCGGGTGAGGATTAAAAAAAAAAAAAACTTCTGACTCTAAAAACCAGTAGGGTTAGAGGCTGAAGGAGGCTGAGACTGGTGGAGCCCCAGGCAGTACTCTTAAAGGGCCCAACCACTGCCTTACTCAGACTTGCACCCTCCAGGCTCCAGAGTGGAGGAGGCAGCTTGAAAGGCACCAGAGCCCTGGCCAGTTTGGCTCAGCGGTTAGAGCGTCGGCCTGTGGTCCCGAGAGACCCGGGTTCGGTTCCCGCTAAGGGCACGTACTTCGGTTGCAGTTTGTCCCCGGCCCTGATTGGTCGTGCGGGTGGCAGCCACTCGATGTGTCCCTTCACGTCGATGTTTCTCTCTCTCTCCCCCTTCCCCTCTCTCCCTCCCACTCTATCTGTACAAAAAATGGAAAAATATCCTCGGGTGAGGATTAAAAAAAAAAATAAAAGAAAGGCACCAGAGACATATGAGGAAGAACTCAGTTGCTTAACATCAGGGCGAGAGCTGGAGAGGCAGCTTTCTCCCAGACAGAGGTACAGATGGAGGCAGTAGTTTTTTTGGTGAGCCCTTCACGCATGGGGCCTGCAGAGGGCCACCATATCTAGAATTCCACAATTTGGCTCACACTGTTTGCCCTGACCTGGTGATTCCCTGAGGCCTTGTCCCAGCCAACTTTCAGCTGATTACCATAGGCATGGCCTGCCTTGGCTCCTGCTTCAGATTTTCCTAAATTGTCTCAAACAAGCAGTATGTCCCTCAGCAAGCCCCATACATCTCATGAAGGAGCCCCAGGCCAAGCACTAAGATCAGCCAGACTTGATTCACAACTTGGCTTTGCCTGAGCACTTCCAAGCCCAGAAAAAGAAGCAGCTGTTTGCAAATCACTTTGTACTTTATGCCTGGTGGCCCCAAGTAGAACACAGGCAGTGGCTGACCTTGCCCCACAGCCAGAACACTCAGTTGACAGTTTCAGACCACATCAAAGTAACACCACCCAACCATATCCACAACTGACATACTCAAGGAGTGGACTCAGTGGGTACCAGAGCTCTACTGAAGTAAGTCTTGCTCTGTGTTGTGGGCCCCTGCATAGCTGGTTCTCCAAAGTAGTCAGAAGTCAGTGGTCAGTGGGCACAGCCAGTCCATGCAGCTGATCAGCCTGAGTAAAATCCTCCCATTGATGTGCCACCAACAATCAATACTCAATTATAACAGAAGACTGGACAGCCCACAGGAAGTGTGCATCTTGAGGTCACAGCTGAGGTGATCAGGGAGGCTGTGCAACTGGTCCCTATAGGACACCTATTACAATAGGCCACTCTAGGAAGCCTATGAGACATAACAACTCTACCTAATACATAGAAACAAACACAGGGAAGCAGCCAATATGAGGAGACAAAGAAACATCTGGAATATAAGGAAGCAAAAAATACCCAATCAGAACAGCAAAAAGAAAAAAGAATTATAAAAATGAGAACAGTGGCCCTGGCCAGTTTTGCTCAGTGGTTAGAGTGTCAGCCTGCAGACCGGAGAGTCCTGGGTTCGGTTCCCACAAAGAGCACAAACCTCGGTTGCAGTTTATCCCCAGACCTAGTTGGGGTCGAGGGGGTGGCAATCACTCGATATATCTCTCTCACATCAATGTTTCTCTCTCTCTCCCTCCCTCTCTCCCTCCAGCTCTATCTGAAGATAAATGCAAAAATGTCCTCAGGTGAGGATAAAAAAAAAAAATGAGAACAGTGTAAGGAACCTCTGGGACAACTTCAAGTGTATCAACATTTGTATCATGAGGTTGCCAGAAGGAGAAGAGAGAGAGCAAGAAATTGAAAACCTATTTGAAACAATAATGACAGAAAAATTCCCTAACTTGGTAAAGGAAACAGACATACAAGTCCAGGAAGCACAGAGAGTCCCAGACAAGATGAACCCCAAGAGGCCCATACCAAGACACATCATCACCAAAATCCAAAAGGTTAAAGACAAAGAGAGAATCTTAAAAGCACCTTACAAGGGAGCTCCCTTAAGACTGTCAGCCGATTTCTCAAAGGAAACTTTGCAGGCCAGATGGGAGTGACAAGAGACATTCAAAGTGATGAAAAGCAAGAACCTACAAACAAGATTACTCTATCATTTAGAATTAATGGTCATATAAAGAGTTTCCCAGACAAGAAAAAGCTAAAGGAGTTTATCACCACCAAACCAGTATTATATGAAATGTTGAAGGGTCTTCTTGAAGAAAAATAGATAAAAAAATATGAACAATAAAATGGCAATAAACACATTTCTATTAATAATTGAATCTATAAACAAAATGGACAAGCAGAACAGAAACAGACTCATAGATACAGAGAACTTTTTGTTGGTTGCCAGATACGAAGGGAGTTGGGGGAATGGACAAAATAGGTGAATGGATTAAGAAGTACAAATTGGTTGTTAGACTGACAAACCTCAAAGGGAAGTGGGAGAGAGGGCAGGAGAGATAAACTAATGGATGCATATGCTTATATGCATATTTTCATAACCAAAGGACATAGACAATAATGTGGGCAAGGCAGGAGAGGGGCGAGAGCAGGGAGGAGGGTATTAATAGGGGGAAAAGGAGGGATATTGGTAAATCATTCAACAATAAAGATGTTTTTAAAAATTTTTTTATTTAAATAAAACAAACAATATACTGGGTTCTGATCCCTTCAGAAAATCTTAGGATGATGGTGATTTATTTCTTCTCCTTTTAAATAATCATCAATGATACTATGTGAAAAATAATTAAAATCATTAATAGCTTTATATTCAAGCTTGAATTAGATCTAATGCTCTTAGTATGTATTAACAGCTACTGAGAGGACAGTATGAAAGAAAATATATAAATACAAGTTCTATTTATAATACTAACAACACAGGTTTTGTTGTTGTTTTACCGCATCAAGATGCAGTGGATAGGGCTTTGGAAGCTTGGAGTTATCAATTCTACCTTCAACTATATTCTGTGAAGTTTGTCACTCTAAGTTCTTCCATGTGCAAAAGGAAATTACAGCTTCTAAACAATTCTCACCTTTTTTTTTTCTTCTTCACTTTAGGATATTAGAAATAGAATAAGATAACTTCCTAAGGGTTCACAAATACAAAATATCATCAAAGTCTAGAAATTAATGTTAAAGGAAAAATTACTTCTTTAAAGATGCAGGGTTTACTGAAACTTTATTTTACTAAGAAAATAAAATGAATCTGAACAATAGAAAAATAGAATTCTTACGTGCATCTCGACGAAACACACCTCTGGAGTAAGCAGAGCTGAAAAGTAAGAGAACGCAAGTAAAGGTTACCCACTGCATTGTGCCAAGGCTTGTGGGCTGAAAAAAAGAGAAAAGATAAGATGAGTAGAGGGAATTAACACTAATATACTTCTTTAACCAATCATTGTAGATTATTAACTAGACTCATCTGTGTATTTCATTGGCACTCAACTGATTACAAAATTCATAATGTTCTTGCGAAAAAATTGTTTGGCTAAATCCCTTGCATAAATTTGCCAACTGGAACTGTGTTCTTCACAAGACCTAATCAACTCATTAAAGTTATATAAAACATCTTATCAAGTTGTACCTAAGGTGGGGCAAAAGTAGGGTTATGGTTGTATGGGCCTTTGTCATGCACATATATACTGTGAATATTTTTCATTTAATAAATGAAAAGAATCATATTTGTTTCTCCATCTACTTTGCACTGCAATATTATATTGTAATACAATAGTAAATATAGAAAAATTTTAATATCAAATTTATCATGATTTTAGAAGCTGAGAATTGATATTCCTATATTTCATGAAGATCCCATAGCTCTAAAATATAAAAATATAATAATAGTCTAATAAGTCTGCATGGTTCTGATGGGTGTAAGATTTATTGGGATGCCCACTTATTAAGTTATGTAATGTCTAATCACTGGAGTGTACACCTTAAACTTATATAATAATATGTCAACAGTAATTGAAAATAAAAATTATTTTACAAAAGCAAACAGTGATGAGTAAGTCTCCCCCAAGAATACTCCAGAAAGAACTATGGGTAAAAAAAAAAAAAAATTCTTGACAATTCCTCAGAAACAATCCATATGTTTACAATATTCTGTACACTTACACTTTCTCCCACACACACATGAGCTTGGGATACACACTGTCTGTTACACCTTGATTTTTCACTTGTCTTGGAGATGGTTCTATATTAGCCTAGAAGATCTACCTCAATCTTTTTTTTTCACTGTTGTGTGATAATCCATTGTGTGGATCTACCATGATTCATGTAGCAAATGCCCTGTTGGTGGGCATGTATGTTCTTTCATATCTTTTGCTAATATAAACAACACTATGCTGAATACTCTGCACACTCTCCTTAGTATGTGCTCAACTTTTCAGGATAAATTGATAAATCAAAGGGTAAGTACATTTGATATTTGATAGAAATTGTAAATGTAGTTCCCAGTATGTGTTTGAAAATGCTCATTTCCCTGAATCCTCCACAAAACTATTAGTTAGTTTTCAGAACTGATAAATGAAAAATGCTCTCATGTTTTGTGTTGAATTGTGAGTGAAATTAGCTATCGTGTCTTCTGTCGAAAAGTTATATGTATTTCTCTTTTCTGTGAATCGCTTGTTCATGTTCTTTAACAGTTTTTCTGTTGAGTTGTTGATCTGTTTAAAATTTTTTGTACATACAAATGGCTGAGAGACATATAAAGAAATGCTCAACATCACTAATCATCAGAGAGATGCAAATTAAAACAACAATGAGGTATCACCTCACACCTGTCAGAATGGCCACCATCAACAAATCATCAAACAACAAGTGCTGGTGAGGGTGTGGAGAAAAGGAGACTCTAGTACACTGCTGGTGGGAATGCAGACTGGTGCAGTCACTATGGAAAATAATAAGGTGTTACCTCAAAAAATTAAAAATTGAACTTCCATTTGACCCAGTGATCCCACTTCTAGGAATATACTCTAAGAAGCCTGAAATACCAATTAGAAAGAATATATGTACCCCCATGTTTGTCGCAGCACTATTTACAATAGCTAAGATCTAAAAACAGCCCAAATGTCCATCAGTAGACGAATGGATAAAAGAGCTGTGGTACATGTACACAATGGAGTACTACGCAGCTGTAAGAAAGAAAGATCTCTTATCCTTTGAGATGACATGGAGGGACCTGGAAAGTGTCATCCTAAGCAAAACAAGTCAAACAGGGAAAGACAAATATCATATGATCTCACTTATTTGTGGAATATAATGAACATAACAGTCTGAGAAATGGGGTAGTCCCAGAGATGTGGAAGTGGGGTACAGACTGACAATCCCCAGAAGAGGGGGTGGTGGGGGAGAGATAAACCACAGAACTTATATGCATGTGTGCATAACAGTGGACATGGACAACAAAGCTGGGGACAGAGCGGGGAGGGAGTGGAAGGGGGGAATCAGTGAGGGAAAAGGAGAAACATCTGTAACAAAAATAAATTAATTTTAAAAAAATAATTGTTTTTACAAACAAAAATTAACTTACATTAAAATTCTAAGAAATGAAACACATGAATCTTTCACTACAATACCAACAAGGTGGTTTCAATGTGCATATCCTTACTAAAGATTAGTAGATGGTTGAGAAATTAAAATATTTAATTCTTAACACTGTCCACATCTTAAAATCTATCTTAATTAATAAGCAACCCTTTAACATTTGCATTTTGTGGATTCCCAAACTAGGCATTCCAACAATTTTCTTCTATTAATTCTGTATACACATTGTATAATGAGAAGAATAAAATCACATAAATCTTGGTTATTTCCAGACACTCTGTTCTTCAAGCTTTTACATTCTTATGCTATCAAAGGACTCTGGCACAAGAGTAAATGCATACATTTAAACCCAGAGTAATAAATATGGCTTACAGAATCTAGTGTCTAAGTGAATAGGAAATAAGCTCTAGTGATTTTCAAATGTTTTTCATTTTATGGGAGAGTTTAAAAAGAGAGTAGTTAAGAAAATTACTTCATGTGGAAAGACTAGTAATGTAGTGATCATTTAGAAAAACAAAGAACACCTAATTGAAATATAAACATAACTGGAAAGTAAACCTAAATCTTTATCCCTTTTTTTCGTTGTTTTCCCTTCATTTTGACAGGATAGAAAAGGCATGGTTTTGAAGCATATGAAATATCTCTTTGGGCCAGTCCTCCACTTCCTTGTTATGTGAATCATAACCTTAAACCTACACTGTCCTACTACCCTCAGGATTCTTGAAGTTTCTCACCAGTCTTTCAAACCAGGTTTCTCTCCATCTCGTCATCTTCTTGGTCCAGCCCTTATGCTGTTTTCTTCTATGATAGACTACTACTTCTGAGTCACCTTCTCTCAGAACTAAAATGAAATATGCATAAAAAGGTAACAACAATGTCTAATCATAGCCATAGTATTTTAACACTTTCTAGTGACAACCACTTAACCCAAGGTCATTCAAAAATATGAGAAATTTGATTTTATTTAGAGAAAAAGTTCAAAGCAGAGCCCTGGCCCATTTGGCTCAGCAGTTAGAGCGTCAGCCTGAAGACCAGAAAGTCCCCCCACTGAGGATCAGGCCCACAACGTGGGCATGTGCCCTGATCAAGAATAAAACCAGCAACCTCTTGGTTCATAGGTCAACTCTTAATCACTGAGCCGCACCTGCTGGGCTAGTGTTGATATGTTTTCATTGAAAGATTCATCTTTGGCCCTAGCCAGTTTGGCTCAGCGGTTAGAGGGTCAGCCCGTGGACCAGAGAGACCCGGGTTTGGTTCCCAATAAGAGTGCATACCTCCGTTGCAGTTCGTCCCTGGCCCCGGTTGGGGTCATGTGGGTGGCAACCAGTCACTGTGTCTCTCTCACATACTCACATCAATGTTTCTCTCTCTCTTCCTCCCTCCCTCCCACTCTACCTGAAGATAAATGCAAAAATGTCCTCAGGTGAGGATAAAAAAAAAAAGATTCATCTTTATTAACTTGTGAGATTTTTGTTAAAAGTGAGATATCTGGTTTATAAAATAAAATCGAGCTTAATTTCTGTTTTAGCATTTAGAAACTAAACACCAAAAAAAGCCTGAACTTGAGTTTGCCAATCAAGTCACAAGTCTAATCCTGTTATTTTCACAAAGACTATTGTAGATCCCTAATAACTGTGTTAGGCCACCTGACATTGAGTTGGATAAATTGAATTAAAATTAAACTCTAAATAAAACTATTTAAATGGAAAGGCATGGGGAAATGCAAACATGAAATGTAGTCATTCAGCAGTAAGAACCAAGTAATCGATAATGAAACATGATCACCTGAACCTTGAGGAAATCAATTGAGTTAAATGTGGATGATGGGACTTTGATTAATAAATTTGCACTTCCACTGAAAGTCAAGGTTAACACACTTCTCTAAACAAATTCTAAAGCCCACGCATGGTAACCTTTGAAATTTTAACAGCATCACCAGGCTTGCACTGATTGCTTCAGATTGCATGCCTCTGGTCACAGAACTTTGAACTGGCCATTTTTGTTTGGAAAACTTGGAGATAATGTATCTCTTTAAGTTAAACAAACCGTTTGCTATACACACCTGCTCTTTAATGAGCTTTGTCCCAACAAATGGAAAATTTCACTGGTGAGGAATTGAATGGGATAGTATAAATCAAATCTGATAGTCCCTGGGTTGAAAAAAACACTTGTATTTCCTATCTTTTCTTTTACCTACACTCTGTAAGAAAAGGTGTCTCTGCTTTTATGTTTTATTTTTCAAGAGAATGATCCTATAGGATCTAGCATTACACCTATTTGAAATTAATGTTCAAATATCTTATGGTATAAATATTATAAAACTTCATCTTTTTTGCTTTACAATATTCATTATTGGAATGCAAAGGGGTTTGTAAGCAAATTTCTGATAGTGTAATTCTATATTTCTATTAATTTTTATGAAATATCTTAGGTACATTATTTATAGTAAAAATATGACACCTTACTAATCTAAAGCTATATTTAATTCCATAAGCATTGACAATGATGTTCAAAATACTAATATTATTAACTTAAAATTTCTATATCTTGGTATAAATATACTAAAGAGAAAGCATATAACCATGTTAAATTCTGACAATATTCTCTTGTTTCTTTTGTTTTTTGGGGGTCTTTTTTGTTTTTCATCCTCACCTGAGGACATTTTTACATGTATCTTCAGATAGAGTGGGAGGGAGAGGAGGAAGAGAGAGAGAAACATCAATGTGAGAAAGACATACCTAGTGGCTGCCACCCACACGACCTCAACCAGGGCCA